CAAAGCAAAAACAGCGTTTTAGAAATGTTTGCAAATGTATTAAACATAAAAACTGAAATACCACATTTACATAGATCGGGTTCAAGTCCGGGCTCTGGCTTGGCCACTCAAGGACCTTCAGAGACTTGTCCCGAAGCCACTCCTGCATTGTCTTGGCTGTGTGCTTAGGCATGTTGTCCTGTTGGAAGGTGAACCTTCGCCTCAGTCTGAGGTCCTGAGCACTCTGGAGCAGGTTTTCATGAAGGATCTCTCTTTGCTCCATTCATCTTTCCCTCGATCCTGACTAGTCTCCCAGTCCCTGCCGCTGAAAAACATCCCCACAGCATCATGTCGTGGGGATGTTTTTCAGCGGCAGGGACTGGGAGACTAGTCAGGATCGAGGGAAAGATGAATGGAGCAAAGAGAGATCCTTCATGAAAACCTGCTCCAGAGCGCTCAGGACCTCAGACTGAGGCTCAGACGTGCTGCTTGGTATTCAGGCCAAAGAGCTCAATCTTGGTTTCATTGTACCAGAGAATCTTGTTTCTCATGGTCTGAGAGTCCTTTAGGTGCCTTTTGGCAAACTCCAAGCAGGCTGTCATGTGCCTTTTACTGAGGAGTGGCTTCCGTGTGGCCACTCTACCATAAAGGCCTGATTGGTGGAGTGCTGCAGAGATAGTTGTCCTTCTGGAATGTTCTCCCATCTCCACAGAGGAACTCTGGAGCTTTGGCCAGGCGGCCAGCTCTAGGAAGGGTCTTAGTGGTTCCAAACTTCTTCCATTTAAGAATGATGGAGGCCACTGTGTTCTTGGGGACCTTCAATGATGCAGAAATTTTTTTGGTACCCTTCCCCAGATCTGTGCCTCGACACAATCCTGTCTCTGAGCTCTACGGACAATTCCTTCGACCTCATGGCTTGGTTTTTGCTCTGACATGCACTGTCAACTGTGGGACCTTATATAGACAGGTGTGTGCCTTTCCAAATCATGTCCAATCAATTGAATTTACCACAGGTGGACTCCAATCAAATTGTAGAAACATCTCAAGGAAGATCAATGGAAACAAGATGCACCTGAGCTCAATTTTAAGTCTCATAGCAAAGGGTCTGAATACTTATGTAAATAAGGTATTTCTGTTTTTTATTTTTAATACATTTGCCAAAATCTCTAAAAACCTGTTTTCGCTTTGTCATTATTGGGTATTGTGTGTAGATTGATGAGGGGATTGAAAACATTTTTTTTTTAGAACAAGGCTGTAATGTAACAAAATGTGGAAAAGGTTCTGAATACTTTCTGAATGCACTGTAGCTCAGTACACACACACATGTTCTCTCTCTCTCTCACACACACACAGACACACACTTTCACAGGCATACACTCATAATCAAGACGTTCAAACAAACCACCAAGAGAGATGAATGACTAGTCTAAAAGGAATAGCAGAAAGGTATAAAATGGAGGAAAAACTAAAGCAGAAAAACAACAGGTATCCTGCAACAACAGAAAGAAAGTGAGGAAGATGTCAGCCTGTCTCTGCCTCTGCCCACATTAGTGTTCAACTGAACAACCAGCTATACTTGTTAAGACGTCACTTTGACTGACAACACACACATCAACGATATTACAGAATACATGCACACGCACACCCCCCACTCTAACAGCCTCAACCCCTCTTCATGTCACACTCAAAGGCTGAATGTCACAGGTAGGTTCACAGTTGCCAGCAGCATACCACCCTGCATCCCACTGCTGGCTTGCCTCTGAAGCTAAGCAGCGTTGGTCTTGGTCAGTCTGTGGATGGGAGACCAGATGCTGCTGGAAGTTGTGTTGGAGAGCCAGTAGGAGGCACTCTTTTCTCTAGTCAAAAAAATATCCCAGGGCAGTGATTGAGGACATTCCTCTGTGTAGGGTGCTGTCTTTTGGATGGGATGTTAAACAGGTTTCCTGACTTATTGCGGATGAAAAGTTAAATGTGTTTTCATCGCAACCGATAGGTTTGTCACAAAAACTGTTGCCTTAAATAGGAAATGTGCCTACTCTAGTCTTGGCACGTGGTCTCTAGATAACAGCTCGCAGTTAAGGTACAGGTAGGCTGTGTGGGTATAGTCTACATGATGAGATTATTATGGATAAGAGCGAGAATATTTGTATTTGTCAAATGGCATTCAAGCATCGATCATCATGTCACCAGAATAAGACCCTCAATATTTATTGGAAATGAGCATCAGATCACCGTCCAAGGCTATCGTCATCCTGTGAAGTTTATCATAATGTATTTCATCTGTAGCCTAATAAACTGTATGGTATCCCGAGTCGTAGTTGGAGAACCACGCACCATATCATCGCGTGACTCCAAATTTACTTCAATATGATGGTTATTATATCAATATATTTGTGCATAAAGGCGTTTCCACCGCCATTTGTTACATAATACATTTCACAGACACAAAAAGATCCCATCATATCGAACAAACAAATTATCTGTCAGCATTTATACAATTGTACCGAGACTTCCTGTTTCCATCACAGCTGTTGTGATTTATTTTATATGGTACCCACATAAAAACAATGGACGCACAAACTCAATTGAGGATTAACTTTGATCAAAGATCACATAATAAACGTTACTTTATCTTGCTGGTAATACCTGCCAGATTAACCCCATCAGCACTGAAACTCAGACCGGCAAACCTCTGTTAAATGACCCAGTTATCTAACCTTAAGGCTACCACCACACCCTTGTGCTTTCTCCAGTAGATGACAGATGGGTGCACACACGAAAAGGAATAGGCCTTTTTTACTTTTAAAAACATTAATTTACTGATATACATTTTAACAAAGTAACTTGGAAGTAATGTTTAAGTAAAAAGTGGCTTGCGAAAGTATTCAACCCCCTTGGCATTTTTCCTATTTTGTTGCCTTACAACCTGGAATTAAAATGGATTTTTTGAGGGGTTTGTATCATTTGATTTACACAACATGCCTACCACTTTGAAGATGCAAAATATTTGTTATTGTGAAACAAACAAGAAATAAGACAAAAAAACAACAAACTTGAGCATGCATAACTATTCACCCCCCCAAAGTCAATACTTTGTAGAGCCACCTTTTGCAGCAATTACAGCTGCAAGTCTCTTGGGGTATGTCTCTATAAGCTTGGCACATCTAGCCACTGGGATTTTTGCCCATTCTTCAAGGCAAAACTGCTCCAGCTCCTTCAAGTTGGATGGGTTCCGCTGGTGTACAGCAATCTTTAAGTCATACCACAGATTCTCAATTGGATTGAGGTCTGGGCTTTGACTAGGCCATTCCAAGACATTTAAATGTTTCCCCTTAAACCACTCAAGTGTTGCTTTAGCAGTATGCTTAGGGTCATTGTCCTGCTGGAAGGTGAACCTTCATCCCAGTCTCAAATCTCTGGAAGACTGAAACAGGTTTCCCTCAATAATTTCCCTGTATTTAGCACCATCCATCATTCCTTCAATTCTGACCAGTTTCCAAGTCCCTGCCGATGAAAAACATCCCCACAGCATGATGCTGCCACCACCATGCTTCACTGTGGGGATGGTGTTCTCGGGGTGATGAGTGATGTTGGGTTTGCCCCAGACATAGCGTTTTCCTTGATGGCCAAAATGCTCAATTTTAGTCTCATCTGACCAGAGTACCTTCTTCCATATGTTTGGGGAGTCTCCCACATGCCTTTTGGCGAAAACCAAACGTGTTTGCTTATTTTTTTCTTTAAGCAATGGCTTTTTTCTGGCCACTCTTCCGTAAAGCCCAGCTCTGTGGAGTGTACGGCTTAAAGTTGTCCTATGGACAGATACTCCAATCTCCGCTGTGGAGCTTTGCAGCTCCTTCAGGGTTCTCTTTGATCTCTTTGTTGCCTCTCTGATTAATGCCCTCCTTTCCTGGTCCGTGAGTTTTGGTGGGCGGCCCTCTCTTGGCAGGTTTGTTATGGTGCCATATTCTTTCAATTTTTTAATAATGGATTTAATGGTGCAACGTGGGATGTTCAAAGTTTCAGATATATTTTTATAACCCAACCCTGATCTGTACTTCTCCACAACTTTGTCCCTGACCTGTTTGGAGAGCTCCTTGGTCTTCATGGTACCGCTTGCTTGGTGGTGCCCCTTGCTTAGTGGTATTGCAGACTCTGGGGCCTTTCAGAACAGGTGTATATATACTGAGATCATGTGACAGATCATGTGACACTTAGATTGCACACAGGTGGACTTTATTTAACTAATTATGTGACTTCTGAAGGTAATTGGTTGCACCAGATCTTATTTCGGGGCTTCATAGCAAAGGGGGTGAATACATATGCACGCACCACTTTTCTGTTATTTTTCTGTTATTTATTTTTTAAACAAGTTATTTTTTTCATTTCACTTCACCAATTTGCACTATTTTGTGTATGTCCATTACATGAAATCCAAATAAAAATCCATTTAAATTACAGGTTGTAAGGCAACAAAATAGGAAAAACGCCAAGGGGGCTGAATACTTTTGCAAGGCACTGTATGTAATGAAATGAATAACTCATTAATCATACACTGTAGAGATAGTGTTGGAGGAGGGCCACTATTGAACAGAGAGAGAACCACACTGTATTTACCCCGCAATAGGTCCTGTTCTTAATCAGTCACATTGTATAGACATCTACTGTATGTTTCATGTTGGGTAAATACAGTGTAGTTCTCTCTCTGTTCAATAGTGGCCCTCCTCCAACACTGAGTAAAAGTCTAATTTAGATCTTTAGTTCTCAGTCTCTGACTCCCCCAGGTCCCCTCCAGCAGCTCCTCCTGCACCCTCCACTCTGTGTGAAGTTACTCATCTACGTTGGTTTGGAATCCCGGTCTAAGTCTCATCAAGATCTGTACAGACCCTGCCCATTCCTTCTCTAGATACTGTAGACAGAACCAGACATTATTCTGACCTGTATTCCCCATGGTCACTATGACACACCACGGTACAGTGGACAGTAGATCTAAACTGGTTTTAGACATGGACTGTGATGGTGAATCATATCAGATTGTGGAGAACCCAACTTGATGAGTTTTTCCTGACCCAGCCCAACACTCCACTCAGTGCCCTCTGACCTCTCCCCTCTCCTACCAGTCTCTCCTCCAACACTGAGTGAGCTTCACTGACCTCTTTCAAGTTATGTCTCAGTCTCTCCATTTCTCCATCCTTCTCCTCCATCTGTCTAACCTTCTCCCCAAACTGTCTGCTTAACTCCCTCTCCATCTTTGTCTGTGAGATCATGATGCTCCTCTGTAACTCAGGTAGGACTATCTTCATCAGGTTTCTGTCTGCTTCAACTCTGACCTCTCCTTCATAGTTTCCCCTCATCTCCTCAATCTCCTGCCCGTGTCTCTCCTCCATCTCCTTCCTATCTCTCTTCTCTCTAAATCTCTGTAGCTCTCTCTCCAGCTCTCTTTTCTTCTCCTCATCCCTTTCTTCTTCCTTCGGTCTCTCCAGTTCAGTTATTCGTTCTCTGAGTATCCTGATATCTCTCTTGAGCTTCTGGATTACGCCATCTTTCTTCAACAGAGAGTCCTGCAGCTCCTTCTCAAGCCTCTCTCTCATCTCTCTCTCCTCCCTCTGTTTCCTCTCCAGTCTCTCCATCTGGATCTTTCCCTCCATCTCTCTGACCTGGGTCTCTGCCTCCTGGTAGGTCTGACTGCTGTAGAATCTCTCTCTGTTTCCTGCCACCATCTCCTCTACCTGCTCCAGCAGCTCTGGGACCTGAGTGCCATGGGGCCTGTCCTTAATGTTGAGGACGTGGTACCTGCTCCCACATTTCTCTACAAGTTGCTGGAGGTCCTGACTCCCTGCTTGGAGAAACTCCTCAATGCTCTGCTCTTTCAGGCCATCAGCATGGATGAATAGAATCACAGTGTGTCCCCAACAACCCTCCCCAAACATCTCCTCCATTCTCTCCAGCACCCCTCTCTCCTCCCCATTAGAGGGCTCCACTGATATGACCAGAAGGAAGGCGTTGGGTCCCGGGGCAGACATACGGACACAGAGCCCCACATCCTGTCTAATCTCCTCCAGAGAGAGTCCAGGACAGAACCAGTCTGGAGTGTCCACCAGCACCAGCCGTCTCCCACACACTTCCCCCTCTCTCCTCTTACTCCTCTGGGTCACTGCAGAGGGGCTGGCCTGGGCCCCAAACTCCTCTCTGCCCAGGATGGTGTTTCCTGCTGCACTCCTCCCAGCCCCAGTCCTCCCCAGCAGCACCAGTCTCAGCTCAGACACACTGGGAGACACTGGGGAGTCTGGACTGCTGCTCTCTCTTCCCACTGCAACACAACACACACCACCGCTCAACACACTTCCTCTCTGGAGGTTAGACCACTAGAACACAGTGTAATCATCATCAGTAACTCACTCTGTAGAGGTTCTTTCATGCTGTGTCTCTTCTTGATTAGGAGAGTGGTGTCTGTATCTGAAGTCTCTCCTCCCACTGTAACAAAATACAAACCATTAAGACATGTGTGGGACAATTACATTTAGAAATCAAAATCATGAGTAAAAAAACCAGGCAGCATGACTAGAACAATATGTATAACAGTGTATGAACATGTAAATTAAACTAGTTTAATTAATGTTGGCATTAGTGATGGTCAGATTGCATCAGTTAGTCACTTTCTGGAGGATGCCCCTCCATACTGTTTCTTCTCCTGAATGGGAATGAAGGGCCTTTAACTGATGCCTCTCCACAACACAACAATAATAATATACAGTCTATAAAACACAACATATCATATAAGTATATCCTGTAATCATTTCATAAAAGTATATTAGAAGTTGTTACAAAAAAGGACCAGTGTGTCTGTCTCTCACTCACCAGTCATCTGGGCTGAGGTCTCTCTTCTCAGTCTCTCTACCTCAGTCTTCACATCACATATCTGTTGAGCTGAAATGATAAAGGACATTACGAACATGATTGGGAAATGCCAAACAACTTTAAAAATGGCAGTTAAGGTAAATTATTATGGACATTCTTCTGTGACATGAGCCTTGTCGGAATTGTGATACATTTGATAACTGAATTGCTTTCCCATCTCACCAAGTTGTGTATTGTCTTTCCTGACATTCTCCAGTAGTTTATCTCTCTCTTCTAGTTGTTTCTCTTTGTCTTTTAGTTGCTTGTTGCTATCCTGTAACTGTTTCTCTCTCTGTTGTAGTTGTTTGTCTTGCTCTTGCAGTCGTTTGTTTATCTCTTCTAGTTCCTTGTCTTTCTCTCCCAGTTTGTGGTTCCTGTCCTCTAGTTTACTGTCTCTATCCTGCAGTAGGACTCTGAAGTTCTCTACTTGGCTATTCTTGTCCTGCAGGTCCTTCCCCAGTGCCTCCAGTTGTCTCTTACTCTTCTCCACCTCGGCAGTGTCCTCCAGTAGTCTCTCTTTCTCTCTCACTTGCTGGGTCATATCCTCCAGTTGTGTATCTTTCTCCTGGAGGTGTTTGATGTTCTCATTCAGTTGCTTTGTGGTTTTCTCCAGTCTGCTCTCTGTGTCCTTCAGTTCTTTATTCCTCTCCTCCAGTGTTGAGTCCTTGTCTTTTAGCTTCTCTTCAGATTCCCTCAATGTCTTCCTCATCTCCTCTAGTTGTTTTTCTTTGTCTTCAAGTACAATATGTACCGCTGGTAGTCTGGATATCTCTTTTAATTCTTTTTCCATCTTCAACTCTGAGGGAGAACAATTAGCATATTTGATTGATTGGTTATATAATTGATTGATTGATTGACTGGTTAATTCGTTCATGCATTTATTCATTCATTCAGAAGTATACCAAGAAGACACCTTATGATTTGATGGAGGTGATACAAAAAATGTTTTTCTACAGTCAACAGTTATCTGAGTTGAACCAATCATATATTGACTATTTGAAACATTACCAAATGAATTAGTCTGAAAAACTGAATGACATCAATCATGTTCCCTGAACCAATCCTCTCTTATCCATACTTACCAAGCTCACCAGATGACGCTTCCCTCGTCTGCTTCTCCTTCTGGGTCTCAATTTGTAAATACTCTGAACCTGAATCTATGGTGTAAAACAGAGAGGTGAGTTCTGTGTGGTAGACTACATCACCTGAATACAGGACAAACAGGACCAATCAGATTTCTCCAGTTACTCAAACCTCTCTCTCATGTGGAGTGTGGACACCAATGAGATCTGGTTAGTTCCATTAATATCATGTTCTTATTGGCCCATTTCTGGTAATGAATTCAATTAACATTTCTTTAGCATGACCAACATTGGGTTCTATTGCAGATATACAGTATTGTGGGAGGAGGCAGGGCTAGGTAAAAGCAGGTGGATGTCAATAAGCAAAACCGACAAATAAGTAATTACTCACCCAAATGCCATCCTCCTGATCATCCATTATCCCAGATGGACAGTCATGAATAATGATAATGTAAAACAGAATGTATTAGTTATTATCATTACCTTCAAATCACTACAGATGTATGATATTAATTTGATCACTCTTTTGTTGTAGTGTATTTGAGTTTTTAAAAGTTTTCTGAAGTTTGTCATTTCCACTTTGAAATTAATTATTTTCCTGCTGTAGCAAACTGGCTCAAATTAAGATCCTACATCTGTATCTGTCACATTATCCAATCAAATGCCATAGTGATGTGATATGCATCAGAGGGGTATGAGTGTGCATCACATTCATTACTAATGAGAATCAAGGGATGTGACCAGTAATGTTGGAATGGTTAAAATGCTTTAGGACAGGGATGGGCAACTTTGATGGGGATGGGGGCCACAAAAAACCTGAACTCATCATGAGGGGCCGTAGTTGCTCGCGGGTCTGCGTACCCACATCCATAGCTGGCCGCTAGACTAATTTACCAATCTAAAAATGTTTTGCTGACATGGGCTAATTATGTTATGTCAGTCCCTATCAGTGACTGACATAACAAGAGAAAAACTGCTGATGCACAACCACATTTCGAAATTGCACCTTATGTATTCTGCTATTCTAACTCGCAACAATTGAGACCCCGATTGAGCCCCCCCCCCCCCCCCCCCCCCCCCCCCCCCCAGTTTCCAGTTTCCCATCCCTGCTTTAGGACATCAAGCTCAAAGTGATTGTAATATGCATTATAACTATACTGAACAAAAATATAAACGCTACATTAAACAATTTCAAAGATTTTACTGAGTTACAGTTCATATAAGGAAATCAGTCAATTGAAATAAATTCATTAGGCCCTAATCTATGGATTTCACATGACTGGGCAGGGGTGTAGCCATGGGTGGGCCTGGGACACCGACTTGGTAGCCAGGCCCACCCACTGGGGAGCCAGGCCCAGCAAATCAGAATGCGTTTTTCCCCACAAAAGGGCTTTATTACAGACAGAAATACTCCTCAGCAGCACCCCCCCACAATCCGGCATGGTTACACGTGGTCTGCGATTGTGCGGCCGGTTGGAGGTACTGCCAAATTCCATGCCAATTGCACACTCCCTCAAAACTTGAGACATCTGCGGCATTGTGTTGTGTGACAAAATTGCACATTTTAAGTGGCTTTTTATTGTGCCCAGCACAAGGTGCACCTGTGTAATTGTGACACTCTGGCTCCGGGACTTTTATATTTGAGCCAGGGTGTATTTGTTTTGTTGGGTTTTGGTTTGGTTATGTTGGGTTTTGGGTGTATTTCTATGTTTGCAGTTCTGTGGGGTTTATGTCTAGGTTTGGTCAATGACTCCCAATCGGAGGTAACGAGTGTCAGCTGTCGGCTCGTTATCTCTGATTGGGAGCCATATTTAATCTGATTGTTTTCCTGTGGGAATTGTGGGTTTTTGTTCCAGGTTCAGTATTTTGTCATTGTTGGACTTCACTATCGTCTTTTGTTTTGTAGTTACGTGCTTTCTTTATTAAAGTCATCATGTTCACTCAACGCGCTGCGTATTGGTCTGCTCCCTTTATAGACGATCGTGACAGAAAAACCCACCATAAAAGGACCAAGCAGCGTGTCAAGCGGCAACAGGATATATGGACGCCTATCAAGGATTCATGGACATGGGAGGAGATACTGGATGGAAAGGGTCCTTGGGCACAACCGGGAGAATATCGCCGCCCTCGTGAAGAGCTGGAGGCAGCTAAAGCCGAGAGGAGGTGGTATGAGGAGGCAGCACGGAGTCGAGGCTGGAAGCCCGTGGGTACTACCCAAAAATTTCTTGGGGGGGGGCTTAAAGGGAGTGTGGCGAAGTCAGGTAGGAGACCTGCGCCTACTCCCTGGACTTACCGTGGAGAGCGAGAGTACGGGCAGACACCGTGTTACGCAGTAGAGCGCATGGTGTCTCCTGTACGCAGGCATAGCCCGGTTCGGTACATTCCAGCTCCACGTATCGGCCGGGCTAGATTGAGCGTTGAGCCGGATGTCATGAAGCCGGCCCAACGCATCAGGCCACCAGTGCGTCTCCTCGGGCCGGCTTACATGGCACCAGCCTTACGCATGGTGTCCCCGGTTCGCCTACATAGCCCGGTGCGGGTTATTCCTCCTTCCCGTACTGGTCGGGCGACGGGGAGTATACAACCAGGTAAGGTTGGGCAGGCTCAGTGCTCAAGGGAGCCAGTACGCCTGCACGGTCCGGTATTTCCGGCGCCACCTCCCCGCTCCAGCCCAGTACCACCAGTGCCTACACCACGCACCAAGCCTCCTGTGTGTCCCCAGAGTCCTGTGCGCCCTGTTGCTGCTCCCCGCACTAGCCCTGAGATGCGTGTCCTCAGCCCGGGACCACCAGTTCCGGCACCACGCACCAGGCCTATAGTGCGTCTCGGCCGGCCAGAGTCTGCCGTCTGCCCAACGGCGCCTGAACTGCCCGTCTGCCCAACGGCGCCTGAACTGCCCGTCTGCCAAACGGCGCTTGAACTGCCCGTCTGCCCAACGGCGCCTGAACTGCCTGTCTGCCCAACGCCGTCTGAACTGTCCGTCTGCCAAGCGCTGCATAAGCCGCCCGTCTGCCATGAGCCTTCAGAGCCGTCCGCCAGACCGGAGCCGCTAAAGCCTTCCGCCAGACAGGATCAGCCAGAGCCTTCCGCCAGACAGGATCAGCCAGAGCCTTCCGCCAGACAGGATCAGCCAGAGCCTTCCGCCAGACAGGATCGGCCAGAGCCTTCCGCCAGACAGGATCAGCCAGAGCCTTCCGCCAGACAGGATCAGCCAGAGCCTTCCGCCAGACAGGATCAGCCAGAGCCTTCCGCCAGACAGGATCAGCCAGAGCCTTCAGCCAGCCATGAGCAGCCAGATCCGTCGGCCAGCCATGAGCAGCCAGATCCGTCGGCCAGCCATGAGCAGCCAGATCCGTCGGCCAGCCATGAGCAGCCAGATCCGTCAGCCAGCCATGAGCAGCCAGATCCGTCAGCCAGCCATGAGCAGCCAGATCCGTCGGCCAGCCATGAGCAGCCAGATCCGTCGGCCAGCCATGAGCAGCCAGATCCGTCGGCCAGCCATGAGCAGCCAGATCCGTCAGCCAGCCATGAGCAGCCAGATCCGTCAGCCAGCCATGAGCAGCCAGATCCTTCAGCCAGCCATGAGCCGTCCAGCCAGGATCCGCCAGAGCCGTCCAGCCAGGATCCGCCAGAGCCAGCCAGCCAGGATCCGCCATTGAGTCCGGTGCTGTCCCTTAGCCCGGTGCTGCCCCTTATCCTGGTGCTGCCCCTTAGTCCGGTACTGCCCCTTAGTCCGGTGCTGCCCCTTAGTCCGGTGCTGCCCGTTAGTCCGGTGCCGCCCCTTAATCCAGTGGGGTTTAGTTGGGGGGTGGTCATATGGAGGAGGCTACGGAAGCGGATAGTGACTAAGGTGGGGTGGGGACCACGACCAGGGCCAGAGCCGCCACCGTGGACAGACGCCCACCCAGACCCTCCCATAGACTGTATGCTGGTGCGCCCGGAGTTCGCACCTTTAGGGGGGGGTACTGTGACACTCTGGCTCCAGGACTTTTATATTTGAGCCAGGGTGTATTTGTTTTGTTTGGTTATGTTGGGTTTTGGGTGTATTTCTATGTTTGCAGTTCTGTGGGGTTTATGTCTAGGTTTGGTCAATGACTCCCAATCGGAGGTAACGAGTGTCAGCTGTCGGCTCGTTATCTCTGATTGGGAGCCATATTTAATCTGATTGTTTTCCTGTGGGAATTGTGGGTTTTTGTTCCAGGTTCAGTATTTTGTCACTGTTGGACTTCACTATCGTCTTTTGTTTTGTAGTTACGTGCTTTCTTTATTAAAGTCATCATGTTCACTCAACGCGCTGCGTATTGGTCTGCTCCCTTTATAGACGATCGTGACAGTAATGATCATGCTGTTTACATTTACACATTTTAGTCATTTAGCAGACGCTCTTATCCAGAGCAACTTACAGTAGTGAGTGCATACATTTTCATTCGTACTGGTCCCCCATGGGAATCGAACCCACAACCCTGGCATTGGAAGTACCATGCTCTACCAACTGAGCCTCCTGAAACATGGGACCAACACTTTATATGTTGCGTTTATATTTTAGTTCAGTGTAGTTCATATTCAGAATGAATCTAGTCTATTCATTGTAACTCCTACTATGAACTCCTATCTACATGAGAAAGTA